TCCTGCTGGATCAAGTGATCCTAACCTTTGATTGCAACAAGCCTCTCTAAAACACACACAGAGACATCTTGTAGTTCTTCCACCTAGTAACCTTTCTCTTAAAAGCAGAGATAGGGCCTTTCCCAGACAGTTATGCTTTAGATTTATCCAGTATCTTGCCTGTAGCTGTCTGTAATGCTAAACATGGAGTGAAGCTTGGTAACATTTGGAGACCGGTATTGAAAGGAGCTGGGGAGGGTCTGTGGCTCAGTGGTAGAGCATCTGCTTGGCATGCAGTATGTCCTAGGTTCAATCACCAGCATCTCCAGTTAAGAATCAGGTAAGGAGGTAATGCGAAAGACCTTTACCTGAGACCCTGGAGAGCCACTGCCAGTGTGAGTAGACAGTACTGACCTTGATGGACCAGTGGTCTGATTTGGTGTAAGGCAGCTTCATGTGAGAGCACGCCCTATTTTTCTCAGTTAAGCTTGTGGGTGCCCAATACCCTTTTTAGCTGAGGGCACACTTTTATTTCTACCAGTTAGGAGGCCCCTCTTTTTTAAAATATGCATTCTTGTAGTTGTCATGGTTCTCTGCTTCTGAAGGACCAGCTCTTCCTATATAAACTTACACTCCAGTTGTGCTCTGCAAATCAACTACTGCTAGCAATTCCCCCTCCTTGGGATGTTCAGTCATCCAGAGCTTTTGCCTCTTCAGTCATGGCATCATCCTCATGGCCCTGATTTTTCAATAGAGGTGCAAAGCTGGGGTTTTTTTTGAGGGGGGGCTTTCATTAATGTCCATGATTTTTTCAGATGTTCTAATGTTTTGTGTGTCACTATATTGGTGTGATTTAACTGTTATTAGGCTTTAATGTTGATCTTACTTGGTTTTTGTGAGCTTCCTTGAGACCTTTTCTGGAATTGTGTGATAGACCTCTTTCAAATAAACGAATGAATTTGCACAGAGTCTGAAAGTTGATTGGCACTCTCTTTTATCTCCAACCACCATGTTTTTCTGAGGCATTGTGGACAATTGATTCATGTTGGATAAAATGAAGGCGAAGAGAATGATGTCAGATGCTTTGGGTCCCCATTGGGGAGAAAGTGAGGTATAAATTAAGTAAATAAATAAATGAATGTTGCTCAAAGGCTTTTAGTGAGACTTCTCTTGGGTTCTGAGGCCCAGGTAGAAATGATTGTAAGCAGAAGTAGAGTTTAGTTGCAGAAAGTAGTGTAGGATCTGTGCGCCATGAAAAGTGACAAAAGATGGAGACACAAGTCCACTAGTGTGAGAGAGAAAGGGACCGGGAATGACTGTGTTCCTCATGAGGATGAGATCCTGACAAGTAAAAGTGCAAGCTCTTGTGTTCATTTCCGTAGCATCAGATCCCTTAATACCCATGAATTTTGTAGACATCATACCTTTAACATGACTGTGTAACTTTTGTCTTCATAGGCTTCGCCAAGAGGTTCCAAAGCCAGGGAGGTAAGTGGAATTCATAGGAATTCTGGACTGTAGGACTCTCTGCAGGGTGAACTCCTGCCCACTCTTTTTTTTAATCTTTCATCATAAAGGAGGAGGAGGCCCAAGGGAAAAGGAAGAGGAAGCAAGATGAAGCGAGCAAGACACAGACTGAAAGACTGATCTCTGTGTGAGTGAATATCAACACCAGCGAGAGAGGGAGAAATAATACTCTGAGTCAAGAGTAGAGAAGGATGGCTACTTCTAGCAATGGCTGGTTCCAGGTTGCAGGCAAAGCTTTGTATGGTTCATGTGCAGCTAGTGGATTCCACTGCACAGAATAAAAAACAACTATTACCTACTTGAAAACCTTTTTTTGCAAAAAAGAAAAGAAAAGAAAGATGAATAACATCCACATGGCTTTTGTGCACAGTAATTACCATCCCCATAGCTCTGAATTATGGCTTTGGTTTGGTCATGCACCAAGAGGTTCTCAGACCAAATAAACATGATTTATATGACTTCTGCCACTGGGAATAATTTCTGAAGTGCACTTTGTCTTCATTGCGATTTCCAGTCAGCTATCTAATACCATAAAGTACAAGTCAGGAGTATAAAGGTTTTGTGGCAGAAACAGGCTTGAGATGTACAAGCTGATGACTGCCACTAAGCAAATGATGCATGGAAGCCTCTGTGAACAGAAAACAAGAAGAATGTCCTCATCCAACGAAAGATAGTCACATCTAAGTCCCATTGAAATCAATGGGGTTTAAATTAGTTGTGGCTAAGTTATCCCATTTATTTCAGTAGGACTTGAGAATGACTAACTTTAGCTGGATTGTGGACAGTGTTCCAAAGATGAATCTTCCATACTAAATGTCCTTGAACACCCAGTGTGCTTTCATCCCCACAGGCTCCTTCAGAAATTTGGGAGAAAGAAAATAATCTCATTCTCCTGCTAGAATCCTTCAGGTCTCAAAATGCTCAGGGATATTTTGTATTGGAGGTCTTTGCTAAGTACCACTGGGATACTCCCTTTGGAGTTTGTCTTCCCACAGAGTTCTGCTGGCATCAGGGTGCAACTGTTTTCATTTTTATATAACAGATCAAGGTACAAACCATACTGGCATATATTAAAAATAGAGGCTTTTGGCTGACTAATAATTTTTATTGATTGAATATAGAGTTTTCAAGAGATGAAAGGGTTATGTTTAACTAGATTGCAAAATATCAGTGAGAAGATGCCTTTTGGAGGGCCCTGAGAAATTAAAACGCTTTTAATTAAGGGAGAAGTAATTTACTATTTCAAGCTGTCTGCTAGCTTTGTATGCAGAGCAGAAAGAAAGCCATCTTCAAATCTCTTTTTCATTAAATCTACAGCAAAGAGGGCGATGATGATGCACTTCTGTGGTCCCTCAAGATTCCCACGACCCAAGAGATTTTGCTTGGTTGCCGGCCTCACCAATTAATCAGGGCAAGGTTGAAACTTTAATCTGAGACTAAGCCTTTTTGTGGACAGTTTGCACTGGCTAATCAGCTAAAGGTTGCGCCCCTAATTAAAATGCATTTTGTTTGCTATATATATCTTTAGAGCTTGCCATAAAATATTTCCATTTAATAAAACATTCATAGCCTTGAGATTTAAAAAGAACCAATAGCAAAGGGCTGAATTACTTGTTTGCTTTTGCTGTCCAGAAAGTAAACTTTAACCTTTCAGGAGGAAAAATTAAAATAATTGTTTGTTTTAATGGACTGTGAAGTTCTTAAGTGCAAGACAAACAACAAAGAATCCTGTGGCACCAGTAAAACCTAGAAGATTTATTATGATATAAGTTTTCTTGGACTAGAAGTCACATGCCACAATAAATGTTTTTAAGGAGCTGCAAAACTTACTGTTTTTGCTGTAACTAATGCTACTGCCCCTCTGAAACTTATCTACAGAGAAAGACAGGTTTGTGGAATGGATTGATGATCCTTGGCGGTTTTCCAAGGCTCCATATTGATAAGGGCACATACGGTGTTTCCATGTTTGAGGGCACAATTTTGTTTCTCCAGCTCAGAAGTTCCTCTTTTAAAATTTGCACCCTGTCCTTGTAGTGTCTGTGAACCTCCTTTGCCTAGAAGAGCATGTATTAAGGAAACATTACCAAATGAAGGCTGCTGGTGTTAGTAAGGTCAGATATCCAGAGCCCTTCTGGATAGAAACACTGATGTAAATTCAGTGGTAAGGTGACTTTTTGTTCAAGTGCAGAGTTAAGGCATAAGGGCCAGGATACAAAGGACTGCTTTAGGTGCACTCAGTGGGTTGGGTTTGCCCAGTGGGGGTTTTAGCTTTTGATCTTCAAGCAGCAGACTCTGAAACCCATATTACACACTACTTCCTGAAATTTTCTTGTTTCAAAAAAGGTTTGAGTATGACATGAGGAGGCTGCTAGTCAAGCCTTAACCCCTCCCCTGAAATTTTCTTGTTTCAAAAAAGGTTTGATTATGATGAAGGTTAGAATCTCCTTCCACACTGGGACACATCTACAGAGTTCAGTTATTCCTCTCTTGCAGAAAGCTGCAAGAGGAATTAAAACTGTGATCCTATATCAGTTAATACAGCTCTATATTCCCCATAAAAATCTGGCAGTGTCCATGCCTGCTACGTGTTTATTTGTAAATGTCCCATTCAGCAAAGGTTCTGCTTCTCCCCGCAAATTCCATTTAAATTTTGGTTCTTCCATCTTTGCATTGTGTGGTTACTTCTGCTTCTCAGTTTAAGTAGGTATTTCCTGTTCACTCACAGTGGCTGCAACATTTATAAACCACTATTTAATCAGTTTGTAAGTATGTTCTTATGTTGTAATTACTGCATTTTTGTGCAGCTAAAATGATGATAAAATAATTTTTCTGTAATTTTTCATTATTGAAATGCTGTAATTGCATGATTGTAAACATTTAATGAACAATTGCTTGGGCTACAAAGAGAAAAACAATGAACAAAGCTGATTAATGATAGATTCAGGAGTGCCTTGGTTACTGCAAGTAAACAGAAAATAACTAAGCTGAAAAACAAAAGCAACAGTAAGATAAAGAGGGAACAGGCAACATTTAAAGAGACAGCAGCCCAAGGAAGCCTCAATAACAGTTTGCCAGTCTACAGTGAACTGACTTGTTCTGCAGTTGCGCTGTAAGTTTTTAAAAATGGCCACAACAAAAACAACAACATAGTAGACACTGAAATGCAACAGGTTGGCACAATATTATCTAGATTGTCCATAAAATTTGAGTGAATGGACAACGTCCAGTGATTAGTGTGAAAGCAACCTAAACCAATTATATATAGAACAGAGCAATTTCTGCCTTTAGTGGACAGTAGCCTTAACCCCTTTTCCTGAAAACTATGCAGCTGTCTTTAGAGACTCTGTACTTTATTTACTGTGTAACGCCAAGTGCCTTTCCCAGCTCTAGTTATTCTGATAGTTTGTTAGTCAAACAAAGCTGTCATTCTGTGTACACTTACTTGAACTTCATTGGACTTCTGTGTAAACATTCATAGGATTTGGCTGTAGGGCCATGTGTGAAACGTGTCCCACATCCTTTTATGAACTCAGTAGCATATCCAAAGCCCTCTGATATGCAAACCAAATTGTGCACCCAGGAGATGGTTAACTGGAGGAATGCTATTTGCATTTTTTTCTTCAGATGTTTAGTGTTGTATTTACTGAGTGTTTTATAATATGTTTTTGTATTTATGTTATTGTTATTTATTGCTTCATTGTTAACCACATCAGGATTGTTGTTAAGAAGCAGCATATAACTTTAATAAATAAATTTTGACACTGTGTAGCTTGTTAAATTTTCAGCTGATTGTTTGCATTCTGAGGCTCACAAGACTTGTCTTTTGGAATGGACAAAATATTAGACTTGATAATTTTATTGATAAAATATATATTTAATCCCCACTTTTTAACACTGAAACTATCAGCCGATACTCACCAACTGGGAAAGAGGAATTAGCCAACATCCAATATTTACAGAGCTTTCAAACACAGAATGACATGTCATTAATTTTTTATATTTGTTTTGTGGCCAATCCCATCTTTAGGATAGGTTGTAATACATTAGAAACATTATAAAATACAAGTCCACCTATTGTCTTTATTTCAGATGTATTGCATTGGATCAGGAAGCAAGAAACAGTGTGAGAAGTACATGAAGCTACTGTATAAAGAGTCATACCATTGGTCTTTTTTGTCAGTATTGTCTAACCTGACTGGCAAGGGCTGTCCACGGTTTTTGGCAGGGGTCTTTCACATCATCTGTGGCCTGATCTTTGCTGGAGATGCTGGGGATTGAGCCTGGGACCTTTGTTGCAAAGAAGGTGCTCTGCCTCTGAAACAGGTCTTCACCCTAGTTACTTTCCCTGCTTGTAAACTTTAAACATAATTTTTTTTTGGTTGTGTTTAGTCTGTTCTCTTGTAAGGAGTGTTGTTTGGGGAAGGTTAGCTGCTTTGTCAGCAGAAGGCAGAACCTCCGTACTTCTTCGTTTTTTACTCTTTAGCACTCCTGCATGCATGAGCAAGCTTTGTTTTTGACAAATTATGTGGAAATTCATAGCAGCTCAAATGCCTGCTACTCCTGAGCCAACAGGAACTAATTAAAACAGCATCATATGGGGCCAACATGGAGACCTTGTTCAGTTGTATACAACAGAGCTAATGCACAGGCCAAGCCACTGCAGCAGGTGGAAGGGGGCCCCTTGTTGGTCTAGTTCCATCCCAGTATTGCACCCTCACATCAGCAGAATGGGGATTATAATGGAAGTATAATATGGAAAGAACAGTCAGCTTGATTTCAAGAACCAATATTATGCAGTGTGAACAAAGTGGCAATGTGGGAGTTGGCCATTAAATCCTGGCTGGGGCATGAGAGGCCAAAAGAAAAAGCTTTAAGCAACACTTCACAAACACTTGGCTAAGTCTTGTTGCTGTGTCACCAAGCCAGGGCTTGTTGCATTGGAAACTCTATGGCAAGTACACGTGTTTCAGACGTGTTACTTTGTCAACCTTGTTGACACATCTAAAAGGCCTTCAGCCTTGATAAAGCAGAGGAACTAAAGCTTGAAAAGTTCCTCACTAAGTAGTTTCCTGGAAGCTGCCAAAAGAGGCTTCACATTCAGAGAGAACAGGTTCTGTTTCTAAGGCAACTCCAGTATATCATTGCTGTTAAGACTCAAAGGCTGCGGTCACACGTACCAGTTGAAGTGGAGGGGAAGTGAGGCTGTTTCCTCTTTTGTAGCTGTGGGTGCAGCCCGTCACTGTGTGATCAGACGCAACTGCAGGTGAGTCAGGGTTTTTTGGGCCATTTGTTTCCCATGCACATAAATGAGGAATCATGCCTCCGCACTGAGGGCCCCCTATGGAGTATGCAATCATGTGCATACTGTGAAGGGGGGTGGGGGGATGACACTGAGCCACGATGGCATGATCAGACCATCCCGACGACATAAGAGTGTGCTATTGCGATCAGATAGGGGAAAGTCCTTCCATGGCCCATTGGAAACTGTTAGAGCCAGACTTTCCTCAGTGTCTTTTAACTCCGCTCCTGCGGTGGAGCAGCACGGGTTGCTGACAACTGCGGGACGCTTCCCAAATGTTACTGTCTGATCACTCCCTTTAGATCCGTCAGGCATTCGCACCTATGTCGGATCTAAAGGCATGTGTGATCGCAGCCAAAGCCTAGGAAAGATGGGGGAGGAGGGGAATAAAAGCATCAAGTCTGGCACTCATGTTGCTGTGCATAGTGGTGAAGCAGAGTTTCTGCACAGGTAATTGCTTTCTTGAAGAACTGTATTCTGGAAATTTCATAAACAAGAGGCTTGAGTACACCAAGTATTACAAAATCGAGAATATGCACCAAGACTCTGTTAACAGCTAAACTATAGCACTGTCTTGTGCTTTACTAAAGTCAGATTTGCTCTGCTGGATATCTGCTGCAAGCACATTAGAAGATATCTGCTGTGCAAGATTTTGTTGCCATAGCTGGCTCTGGGATGGCTAGAAGGGTGTCACAGCATAAGCTGCTGAATTGTCTCAGTTCAGCCCCATCCTGCCGTCCACCTTCTCTCCACTAATTTTCATCTCATCTATGTATTTTGCTAGGCATCCCACTATGTCACATTTGGCAGCGGTGGCTTTTGCCAATGCATTAGTGCTCATCTGTTTTCCTACATAAGCAAAGTTGTCCAAGTCAGCATGCCAGTCGCACACTCTCAGCCTAACCTAGCTCACAAGGGTTGTGAGGATAAAATGGAGCAGAACAGAATTATAGGAACATATACTTTGCAAAACGATAAGTATCATCATCATTGTTGAATCCTCAGCTCTCATTGTTAAGCAAAGAAACCTTCATTACTTGGATCCAGTGATTTGCCAGTTGAAGATACTAATGGATGCAGATTTTTGCCATGTTTCTCACCCCCGTGGTCTCTTCTGATCCCTGGAAAGTTGATCCCTGGGATTATGGGACCTCCCCTTCTACCATGTACTACGACTGAAATTTTTAAATTTTATTTTGGCTCAATTAGAAGAATATCCTGATTGCCTAA